TATTGGGTTCCACCCCAGAGGACTGAGACCCAACGTTCAAATATGAGCAAATTCCAAATGTTTCTTCAGGAGGAGTAGGATTTTAAAGAGCTTGGTTGATTTCTAGAATTGAGCTATGCCCCTCTGGTCCCCGGGATGGACACCAAGGTTTATACAAAATAAATTTCCCATCACCTAACAATGCTTAAGACCTAATTTGGAAAAACACCGATTAATCCTCTGGAGGACTAAAAGGTTAGTCCCCCCCCCCCCCGACCCCTCACAAAAACCTTTGACACATTTGGGCAACACATATATTTGCTTTATCCTTATTAGGACTCGCCCCTCCCGTCCCGCCGAGACCAACCGTTTATATAAGAATAATTCTACCTCACCTAAGAATTCTTAGCAGACAAAATGTAGGTTACACTATATAGACTACATTTTTTTTACATTTTTCCCGGACATCCCCCCCCCCCCCCCCCCCTCACAAAAACCTTTGACATTAACACATGCACTTATTCATTTCACATGTTATGGAGTTTACGTATTAAAAAGCTATATTTCGTCAAGTTACAAAACTCATGACGGAGAAGAGACATGAATGTTGTATACGAGACAAGATCTTGAAAGGTAATTTAGAACACGAGTTCAATATCACAGTATTTTATCACAGCCACGTAATTACCAGCAACAAAATACTTGACAAATATTGCCTTCTTATTTTTAGCAATGGAATGTGTGAAAAAAAAACATTTTACAAATGGCCACTGGGACTAGGTATGTATACGGGAATAGGTATATAAACTGGGACATAGGTATCTTCCTTGTTTACACATAGGTATATAGTCACTGATTTCGTATGTAAAACACAACTAGGTCCAGCACTTGGTCAATGTAAGTATATCACTATATAGGTATATAACCACTGGGACTAGGTATGTAGCACTGGGACTATATAAACCGAGTGTAGGTATGTAGCCAAAATTAGGTATGTAGCCACTGGGACTAGGTATCCATAACCACTGGGACTAGGTATGTAGCCACTGGGACTAAGTATATAGTCACTGGGACTAGGTATCCACTGGAATAGGTATGTAGTCATTGGGATTAGGTATGTAGGGACTGGGACCACTTGGTATGTAGCCACTGGGACTAGGTATATAACCAATTGGGACTAGGTATTAGCCACTGGGACTAGGTATGTAGCCACTGGGACTAAGTATGTAACCACGGGGACTAGGTATGTAACCACTTTTCTAGGTATGTAGCCACTGGGACTAGGTATGTAACCACTGGGACTAGGTATGTAGCCATTGGGATTAGGTATGTATCGTTGGGACTAGGTATGTAGCCACTGGGACTAGGTATGTAGCCACATTTCTAGGTATGAACCACTGGGACTAGGTATGCAGCCACTGGGACTAGGTTTGTAACCACTAGGTATGTAACCACTGGGACTAGGTATGTAGTCACAGTGACTAGGTATGTAGCCACTGGTACTAGGTATGTAACCACTTGGACTAGGTATGTAGCCACTGGGACTAGGTATGTAGCCACTGGGACTAGGTATGTAATCACTGGGACTAGGTATGTAGCCACGGGGACTAGGTATGTAGTTGGATAGGTATGTAGCCACTGGGGACTAGGTATGGGATAACCACTGGGACTAGGTATGTAGCCACTGGGACTAGGTATGTAGCCACTGGGACTAGGTATGAAGCCACTGGGACTAGGTATGTAACCACGGGGACGAGGAATGTAACCACTGGGACTAGGTATGTAGTCAGTGGGACTAGGTATGTGACCACTGGGAATAGGTATATAGTCACTGGGACTAGGTATGTTACCATTTGGAATAGGTATGTAGTTACTGGGATTAGGTATGTAGCCACAGGGACTAGGTTTGTAACCACTTGGACTATGTATGTAATCACGGGGACTAGGTATATAACCACTGGGACTAGGTATGTAGCCACTGGGACTAGATATATAGTCACGGGGACTAGGTATACAGCCACTGGGACTAGGTATGTAGTCATTGGGATTAGGTATATAACCACTGGGACTAGGTATGTAGCCACTGGGATTAGATATATAGTCACGGGGACTAGGTATATAGCCACGGCGACTAGGTATGTAGCCATTGGGACTAGGTATATAGTCACGGGGACTAGGTATACAGCTAGGTATGTAGCCACTGGGACTACGTATGTAGCCACAGGGACTAGGTATGTAGCCAATGGGACTAGGTATGTAGTCATTGGAACGAGGTATGCAACCACTGGGAATAGGTATGCAACCACCGGTAATAGGTATGTAGCCACTGGGACTAGGTATGTAGCCACTGGGACTAGGTATGTAACCACTGGGACTAGGTATGTAGCCACTGGGACTAGGTATGTAGCCACGGGGACTAGGTATATAGTCACGGGGACTAGGTATATAGTCACTGGGACTAGGTATGTTACCATTGGGAATAGGTATGTAGTCACTGGGATTAGGTATGTAGCCACAGGGACTAGGTTTGTAGCCACTTGGACTATGTATGTAATCACGGGGACTAGGTATATAACCACTGGGACTAGGTATGTAGCCACTGGGACTAGGTATATAACCACTGGGACTAGGTATGTAGCCACTGGGACTAGATATATAGTCACGGGGACTAGGTATGTAGCCACTGGGACTAGGTATATAACCAAGGAGACTATGTATTCAGCCACTGGGACTAGGTATGTAGCCACTGGGACTAAGTATGTAACCACGGGGACTAGGTATGTAACCATAGGAATTAGGTATACAGCTACTGAGACTACGTAGGTTGCCACTGGGACTAGGTATGTAACCAGTGGATCTACGTATGTAGCCGCTGGGACTATGTATGTAACCATGGGGACTATGTATGTAGCCCATTTGACTAGGTATGAAGCCACTGGGACTAGGTATGTAACCACGGGGACGAGGAATGTAACCACTGGGACTAGGTATGTAGTCACTGTGACTAGGTATGTAGCCACTGGGACTAGGTATGTAGCCACTGGGACTAGGTATGTAGCCACGGGGACTAGGTATTTAGCCACTGGGACTAGGTATGTAACCACTGGGGAATAGGTATGTAGTCACAGTGACTAGGCATGTAGCCACTGGAACTAGGTATGTAACCACTGGGACTAGGTATAAAACCACTGGGACTAGGTATATAGTCCCTAGGAATAGGTATGCAGCCACTGGGACTAGGTATGTAATCACGGGGACTAGGTATATTACCACTGGGACTAGGTATGTAGCCATTGGGACTAGGTATATAGCCACTGGGACTAGGTATGTAGTCATTGGGATTAGGTATATAACCACTGGGACTAGGTATGTAGCCACTGGGACTAGGTATGTGACCACTGGGAATAGGTATATAGTCACTGGGACTAGGTATGTTACCATTGGGAATAGGTATGTAGTCACTGGGATTAGGTATGTAGCCACAGGGACTAGGTTTGTAGCCACTTGGACTATGTATGTAATCACGGGGACTAGGTATATAACCACTGGAACTAGGTATGTAGCCAGTGTGACGAGGTATTTAGTCGCTGCGACCAGGTATGTAGCCACGGCGACTAGGTGTATAGTCACGGCGACTAGGTATATAGTCACGGGGACTAGGTATACAGCCACTGGGACTAGGTATGTAGTCATTGGGATTAGGTATGTATCGACGGGGACTAGGTATGCAGCCACAGGGACTAGCTATGTAACCACTGGGACTAGGTATGTAGCCACGGCGACTAGGTATATAGTCACGGGGACTAGGTATACAGCCACTGGGACTAGATATATAGTCACTGGGACTAGGTATGTTACCATTGGGAATAGGTATGTAGTCACTGGGATTAGGTATGTAGCCACAGGGACTAGGTTTTTAGCCACTTGGACTATGTATGTAATCATGGGGACTAGGTATATAACCACTGGGACTAGGTATGTAGCCACTGGGACTAGTTATGTGACCACTGGGAATAGGTATATAGTCACTGGGACTAGGTATGTTACCATTGGGAATAGGTATGTAGTCACTGGGATTAGGTATGTAGCTACAGGGACTAGGTTTGTAACCACTTGGACTATGTATGTAATCACGGGGACTAGGTATATAACCACTGGGACTAGGTATGTAGCCACTGGGACTAGATATATAGTCACGGGGACTAGGTATGTAGCCACGGCGACTAGGTATGTAGCCACTGGGACTAGGTATATAGTCACGGGGACTAGGTATACAGCCACTGGGACTAGGTATGTAGCCACTGGGACTAAGTATGTAACCACGGGGACTAGGTATGTAACCATAGGAATTAGGTATACAGCTACTGAGACTACGTAGGTTGCCACTGGGACTAGGTATGTAACCAGTGGATCTACGTATGTAGCCCCTGGGACTATGTATGTAACCATGGGGACTATGTATGTAGCCCATTGGATTAGGTATGAAGCCACTGGGACTAGGCATGCAGCCACTGGGACTTGGTATGTAACCATGGGGACTATGTATGTAGCCCATTGGACTAGGTATGAAGCCACTGGGACTAGGCATGCAGCCATTGGGACTAGGTATGTAACCACGGGGACGAGGTATGTAACCACTGGGACTAGGTATGTAGCCACTGGGACTAGATATGTAACCACTGGGACTAGGTATGTAGTCACAGTGACTAGGCATGTAGCCACTGGTACTAGGTATGTAACGATGGAAACTAGGTATAAAACCACTGGGACTAGGTATATAGTCCCTAGGAATAGGTATGCAGCCACTGGGACTAGGTATGTAATCACGGGGACTAGGTATATTACCACTGGGACTAGGTATGTCACCACGGGGACTAGGTATGAAGCTACAGGGACTATGTATGTAGCCACTGGGATTAGGTATGTAGCAAACAGGGACTAAGTATGAAGCCACTGGGACTAGGTATGTAACCACTTAGAATAGGTGTGTCTCCATGGGGACTATGTTTGTAGTCCCTGGGACTAGGTATGCAGCCGCTGGGACTAGGTGTGTAGCCACTGGGACTAGGTATGTAGCCCCTAGGAATAGGTATGCAGCCACTGGGACTAGGTATGTAACCACTAGAACTAGGTATGTAGCCACTCGGACAAGATATGTAGCCTCTGGGACTAGGTATGTAACCATGGGGACTAGGTATGTAGCCATTGGGACAAGATATGTAGCCATTGGGACTAGGTACGTAACCATGGGTACTAGGTTTGTGGACACTAGCTGTAGGTATGTAGCCACGGGGACAAGGTATTTAGCCACTGGGACTAGGTATGTAGTCACGTGGACCAGGTATGTAGACACGAGGACTAGGTATGTACTCACCTGGACTAGGTATGTATCCAATGGGACTAGGTATGTAGCCACTCGGTCTAGGTATGAAGCCACTGGGACAAGGTCTGTTGCTACGGGGACAAGGTATTTAGCCACTGGGACTAGGTATTTAGCCAATGGGACTAGGTATGCAGCCACGGTGACTAGGTATGTAACCACTTGGACTAGGTATGTAGCCAATGGTACTAGGTATGTAACCATGGAAACTAGGTAAAAAACCACTGGCATTCCCATTGACAGTGGACCATCCTGACTTACATTCTTTGTAGCGGGTCTAATTATCCATTCCCATTTAAAGTGAACCATCCTGACTTACATTCTTTGTAGCGGGTCTGTAATTATCCATTCCCATTCACAGTGGACCATCCTGACTTACATTCTTTGTAGCGGGTCTGTAATTATCCCTTCCCATTTACAGTGGCCCATCCTGACTTACATTCTTTGTAAAGGGTCTGTAATTATCCATTCCCATTTACAGTGGACCATCCTGACTTACATTCTTTGTAGCGGGTCTGTAATTATCCATTCCCATTTACAGTGGACCATCCTGACTTACATTCTTTGTAGCGGGTCTGTAATTATCCATTCCCATTGACAGTGGACCATCCTGACTTACATTCTTTGTAGCGGGTCTGTAATTATGCATTCTCATTTACAGTGGACCATCCTGACTTACATTCTTTGTAGCGGGTCTGTAATTATCCATTCCCATTTACAGTGGACCATCCTGACTTACATTCTTTGTAGCGGGTCTGTAATTATCCGGCCCATTTACAGTGGACCATCCTGACTTACATTCTTTGTAGCGGGTCTGTAATTATCCATTCCCATTTACAGTGGACCATCCTGACTTACATTCTTTGTAGCGGGTCTGTAAGTATCCATTCCCATTTACAGTGGACCATCCTGACTTACATTCTTTGTAGCGGGTCTGTAATTATCCCTTCCCATTTACAGTGGACCATCCTGACTTACATTCTTTGTAGCGGGTCTGTAATTATCCATTCCCATTTACAGTGGACCATCCTGACTTACATTCTTTGTAGCGGGTCTGTAATTATCCATTCCCATTTACAGTGGACCATCCTGACTTACATTCTTTGTAGCGGGTCTGTAATTATCCATTCCCATTGACAGTGGACCATCCTGACTTACATTCTTTGTAGCGGGTCTGTAATTATCCATTCCCATTGACAGTGGACCATCCTGACTTACATTCTTTGTAGCGGGTCTGTAATTATCCATTCCCATTTACAGTGGACCATCCTGACTTACATTCTTTGTAGCGGGTCTGTAATTATCCATTCCCATTTACAGTGGACCATCCTGACTTACATTCTTTGTAGCGGGTCTGTAATTATCCATTCCCATTTACAGTGGACCATCCTGACTTACATTCTTTGTAGCGGGTCTGTAATTATCCATTCCCATTTACAGTGGACCATCCTGACTTACATTCTTTGTAGCGGGTCTGTAATTATCCATTCCCATTTACAGTGGACCATCCTGACTTACATTCTTTGTAGCGGGTCTGTAATTATCCATTCCCATTTACAGTGGACCATCCTGACTTACATTCTTTGTAGCGGGTCTGTAATTATCCATTCCCATTGACAGTGGACCATCCTGACTTACATTCTTTGTAGCGGGTCTGTAATTATCCATTCCCATTTACAGTGGACCATCCTGACTTACATTCTTTGTAGCGGGTCTGTAATTATCCATTCCCATTTACAGTGGACCATCCTGACTTACATTCTTTGTAGCGGGTCTGTAATTATCCATTCCCATTTACAGTGGACCATCCTGACTTACATTCTTTGTAGCGGGTCTGTAATTATCCATTCCCATTTACAGTGGACCATCCTGACTTACATTCTTTGTAGCGGGTCTGTAATTATCCATTCCCATTTACAGTGGACCATCCTGACTTACATTCTTTGTAGCGGGTCTGTAATTATCCATTCCCATTGACAGTGGACCATCCTGACTTACATTCTTTGTAGCGGGTCTGTAATTATCCATTCCCATTTACAGTGGACCATCCTGACTTACATTCTTTGTAGCGGGTCTGTAATTATCCATTCCCATTGACAGTGGACCATCCTGACTTACATTCTTTGTAGCGGGTCTGTAATTATCCATTCCCATTTACAGTGGACCATCCTGACTTACATTCTTTGTAGCGGGTCTGTAATTATCCATTCCCATTTACAGTGGACCATCCTGACTTACATTCTTTGTAGCGGGTCTGTAATTATCCATTCCCATTGACAGTGGACCATCCTGACTTACATTCTTTGTAGCGGGTCTGTAATTATCCATTCCCATTGACAGTGGACCATCCTGACTTACATTCTTTGTAGCGGGTCTGTAATTATCCATTCCCATTGACAGTGGACCATCCTGACTTACATTCTTTGTAGCGGGTCTGTAATTATCCATTCCCATTGACAGTGGACCATCCTGACTTACATTCTTTGTAGCGGGTCTGTAATTATCCATTCCCATTGACAGTGGACCATCCTGACTTACATTCTTTGTAGCGGGTCTGTAATTATCCATTCCCATTGACAGTGGACCATCCTGACTTACATTCTTTGTAGCGGGTCTGTAATTATCCATTCCCATTGACAGTGGACCATCCTGACTTACATTCTTTGTAGCGGGTCTGTAATTATCCATTCCCATTTACAGTGGACCATCCTGACTTACATTCTTTGTAGCGGGTCTGTAATTATCCATTCCCATTTACAGTGGACCATCCTGACTTACATTCTTTGTAGCGGGTCTGTAATTATCCATTCCCATTTACAGTGGACCATCCTGACTTACATTCTTTGTAGCGGGTCTGTAATTATCCATTCCCATTGACAGTGGACCATCCTGACTTACATTCTTTGTAGCGGGTCTGTAATTATCCATTCCCATTGACAGTGGACCATCCTGACTTACATTCTTTGTAGCGGGTCTGTAATTATCCATTCCCATTTACAGTGGACCATCCTGACTTACATTCTTTGTAGCGGGTCTGTAATTATCCATTCCCATTTACAGTGGACCATCCTGACTTACATTCTTTGTAGCGGGTCTGTAATTATCCATTCCCATTTACAGTGGACCATCCTGACTTACATTCTTTGTAGCGGGTCTGTAATTATCCATTCCCATTTACAGTGGACCATCCTGACTTACATTCTTTGTAGCGGGTCTGTAATTATCCATTCCCATTTACAGTGGACCATCCTGACTTACATTCTTTGTAGCGGGTCTGTAATTATCCATTCCCATTTACAGTGGACCATCCTGACTTACATTCTTTGTAGCGGGTCTGTAATTATCCATTCCCATTTACAGTGGACCATCCTGACTTACATTCTTTGTAGCGGGTCTGTAATTATCCATTCCCATTTACAGTGGACCATCCTGACTTACATTCTTTGTAGCGGGTCTGTAATTATCCATTCCCATTGACAGTGGACCATCCTGACTTACATTCTTTGTAGCGGGTCTGTAATTATCCATTCCCATTGACAGTGGACCATCCTGACTTACATTCTTTGTAGCGGGTCTGTAATTATCCATTCCCATTGACAGTGGACCATCCTGACTTACATTCTTTGTAGCGGGTCTGTAATTATCCATTCCCATTGACAGTGGACCATCCTGACTTACATTCTTTGTAGCGGGTCTGTAATTATCCATTCCCATTGACAGTGGACCATCCTGACTTACATTCTTTGTAGCGGGTCTGTAATTATCCATTCCCATTTACAGTGGACCATCCTGACTTACATTCTTTGTAGCGGGTCTGTAATTATCCATTCCCATTGACAGTGGACCATCCTGACTTACATTCTTTGTAGCGGGTCTGTAATTATCCATTCCCATTTACAGTGGACCATCCTGACTTACATTCTTTGTAGCGGGTCTGTAATTATCCATTCCCATTTACAGTGGACCATCCTGACTTACATTCTTTGTAGCGGGTCTGTAATTATCCATTCCCATTGACAGTGGACCATCCTGACTTACATTCTTTGTAGCGGGTCTGTAATTATCCATTCCCATTTACAGTGGACCATCCTGACTTACATTCTTTGTAGCGGGTCTGTAATTATCCATTCCCATTTACAGTGGACCATCCTGACTTACATTCTTTGTAGCGGGTCTGTAATTATCCATTCCCATTTACAGTGGACCATCCTGACTTACATTCTTTGTAGCGGGTCTGTAATTATCCATTCCCATTTACAGTGGACCATCCTGACTTACATTCTTTGTAGCGGGTCTGTAATTATCCATTCCCATTTACAGTGGACCATCCTGAC